CTCCCGTGATGGTTAGCACTTTTTAGCAACAAAGTATTTTTTTTTAAGATTTTATTTATTTATTTGACAGAGAGAGATCACAAGTAGGCAGAGAGGCAGGCAGAGAGAGAGGAAGGGAAGCAAGCTCCCTGCTGAGCAGAGAGCCCGATGTGGGACTCGATCCCAGGACCCTGAGATCATGACCTGAGCCGAAGGCAGTGGCTTAACCCACTGAGCCACCCAGGCGCCCAACAAAGTATTTTTAAATAAAGATACATGCGTTGTTTTTTCTTCTTATGATACAATGCTAGTGCACACTTCGTAGACCAAAGGATGGTGTAAACATAACTTTTAGATGAACCAGGAAACCCCCAAATTCATTGCCTCGCTTTACTCTTTCATGTACTTCATCACATCGTGGCCATCTGGAACCAAACCCACAGGCACCCCGAGATACACCTGTAAAGGATTTCGGGGTGACTGGGAAAATGAACTTGACTGTACAATCTCACCACCACGGCACCCACATTTGTACCCACTGTTCCTATTCTCTCTGGCTCTTGCCGCAAGGATGACAGCATCCTGATGAAAGTTATATTTTTCCCCTCTCTTTTTTTTGATAAAATAAGGACAGTAATCTCCCCAGAAAGGCTCTCCATGACAGACAAGCCTATTTCCAAAGGGCTCTGCTCATCTATCAACTCAGGAATATATTTTGCAGTGTTAACTATAGATTAATCTCTCTTTCTCTCTCTAATAACCACTTAAGTATCGTGAAGGTTTTTGGCTCACCTGTGAACTAGCTATTCTGCTCCTAGGTGCCAATGGATAGAATTCAAAAAAGGAAAAAGAATCAATTAACTTTCCGATTCTGATATTTGTATAAACTGTTATTTATCACGGGCAGGATGAATGGGAACTTGAAGGCTGTTCTCGGGTATTTTATTCACATGAATAATAAATCAGGGTAAAAGCCTACAAAATTCAAAGCGACACTGGATCAGAGTTTTGGGCTCATGTGTGCCTCAGCCTTTGATTATTCAAGCAAAGCAGAAAGAATGCGCTCTCCTTCCCTCCATGGGTTCTCAGGATGCCGGGCCAAGTGGGCTTGGCCGTGCCATCTTTTCCCCTGGAAACCTCCTCTCGCACCTGATGCCATGGGAGGCAGCCTGGCCCCTTGTTTTTCTCCCTCAGCAACTTTTACCTTTTCAGGTAAACATTTACCTTTTCAGGAGTGACATCTTCTTTGAACTTAAAAATTTAAAAAAAAAAAAATTTCTTACATGGACTCTTCTGAACATTAATAAGCCTCTATGGGGACTCAGGCTTGTTCAGAACATTGGCCAAATGCTGAGCGGACGGGCCTTGGTCTGTGGATCGGAGGCTCTTCCGCTGTTGTGTTTTCTTTCAGAGAAAAAGGAAACCAGTTTGCTGTGTGCTTTTTTTCCGTAAAGAAGGAGAGTTATGGGGCACCTGGGTGGCTCAGTGTGTTAAGCCTCTGCCTTCAGCTCAGGTCGTGATCCCAGGGTCCTGGGATCGAGCCCCACATTGGGCTCTCTGCTCAGCGGGGAGCCTGCTTCCCCCTCTCTCTCTCTGCCTGCCTCTCTGCCTACTTGTGATCTCTGCCTGTCAAATAAATAAATAAAATCTTAAAAGAAAAAAAAGGAGAGTAATGAGAAAGAGAGAGTGCGCTCACCTCCAGGAGAGTGTAACACAGCTGTTTTTCTTTTTGCTTTTGTTGGACATAATCAACCCGTACATAAGTGATGGCTGCATCTTCTAGACAACTGTCTTCACCTTCACAGTTGCACACAGCAGGCTTTTGGGTACGTGGCTCTGCCAGACCGGACTCCCCTGCCCCTCACCGGCCTCCCCGGGGGCAGGCTGTTCCCTGGCTCTGCCGCTTGTGTGCCTGGGATATGCAGCTCTGAGCCCCCACACTCGCCGCCATCCGGGGCGACGGCCACAGTCCCACACACCTGACGCGGCCACGTTCCTCTCTCCACTTGGAACGCGAGTCAATTCAAACCGAGTCCAGAACACGGCTGCACGGCAGGGCCTGACCTCCCCGTCCCTGCGAGGTGGGAAGTTCTGTGTGGAGCGTCCTGACGGATTTATGCATCACAAAGGCTTGATTTTGTGGGAGCCAGGAGGGAATGGCCCCTTAACCCCCTAAATCTCAGGGAAATGGGTTCACGGCCACTGCTGAACAGGCAAAAGCATCAAGCAAACTTCACGAACGCAGACCAGCTTCGCCCGCTGGGGCTCTCGGCTCGGCTCAGAGGGGAGATGCTCCCCGGGAGGGGTTCGGCACACACGCGGTCCAAGTGTCAGTCACCTGGTAGCCGGGGACGGCGAGGATGTCTTGCTCTGTCTCCCTTTGAAAGGACAAAACTGCCCATCGGAGAATACTGGGCTCTAGAGTTTATCTGTCCCCTCTTGGCTTTTTCATTAGTCCTGGGTCAGGGAGCTACATTTTTCACCGAGGAAGCGGGGACACATCACGGAGCCCCTCGAATGTGCCAGTAGCTCTTCTTGGAGGCTGTGACCCCGGCGTGCCGTGTGCGGCCTCTGCTCTTGCACTGTTAGAAATGTCCTCTCCCGCCGCCCAGACCGTCCTTGGCGTGTGCTGTCTCCACTCCAGCATGGCACCTCGGGAACAGAATGACGTCCTGGAGGCGGTGGAGATGCCCCTTTGGCCGGGATTAGGGGCCAAACTCTGCTGCTCTGCACATGGCGTGGTGGAGGCACTGGGAGTTCTCCCGGGAGCCCCAACTTTCTGGTCGACCTCTGTGTCCTTGACACGGCCCTGGGACAGGTCCACGGCGACTTGCTCCTGACCCCAGCACGGCTTTGCGTCCCCTGCTGCCCCCTCCACTGCCCGTGAGTACGTTTTCCAGCATCTTCCTTTCCTGCATACAGTTCTCCAGCCAGACATAGGCTCTGGCCTGGGAAAACTCCCTGTGAGCAGGGGTCGTCCCTCCTGCTCTGACCAGAGCTCTCAGCAAGCAGGCCTCTGGCACATGGTTTTGGCTTCTGTATTAGAGTGTAAGGGCTGCTGTGAGGGAGGCCCTCTCTTCTTTCCTTTTATGTTAGCTAGTATTCAGCTAAAAACACAAACAGCAGCACTCCAGGAATAAACACACACACACACACACACACACACACACACACACTCTCTACTGCTCGTGGCTCATCTGCCCACCGCAGTTGGGACTCTGCTTCTGGTGATTTCCACGGCCCACGGGGAACTGTGCAGTCAGATTCTGGGCTCCGGACCTGAGTCACCCTCTTGTCCCCCTATATCTGAATTTAAGGCCCCAGTGTCCACAGAAAGCGGGTGACCACGCAAACAGACAACGTCTTCTGAGGCTGAGGTGGGGATACATAGAGGGAGATGTGTTTTACAGTTGACTTTGCTCCCTGTCGTCCCTTTCTGGAAAGTGACTGACAAGTGGCTTTGCCTCACACCTACAGCAGGGTGAGCGTGTTCTCTCAGCTGTTCCTGTACAGAAACTGAGCTGTGTGTATGAGGCTACTGTGTGCCTTTCATATTTTAAGGAGGCTAAACAAATACGAAGGGGGAAAGAAGAAAATCCCTAACGGAATGTCCTGAGACCACTGGCAGCATTCTTTATCACGGGCCTTTACACCCCGGCCCCCCCTCCAAGCCAGGCTTTGTACCCCGAGGGGAAGGACCCCATGAAAACCCCCTGAGATCTGGGTTTGGGACCCGCTAAGAGAAGGTGGGGAGCAGACAGATGAGGGTCCTGCTGGACACGATGATTCAGGAGGGAGTCAACTGACCTGATTCATTTTAGTTTTGCTTTAGTTGGTGCTAAGAATATCTTGGAAAAGTAGAAGTGGGCTCCCCACCAGCAGCTTTATTCTTAGAGGACACACAAGCATACTTGACGGGAGGTCGCTGCTCTAAGAACAAAGCCTGTGCCGACCAGCCAGTCACTCAGCCTCCCCAGGAGGGTCCCTTTTCCCTGCTCATGAGCACCTGCCGGGGGAGACAGGTGTGGGAGCTTCTCAAGCAGACCATGGGCCAGAGCTGCTCTTGCTGCAGCCTCGGGGGCAGGGGCAGCACAGGGACACCCCAAAGACGGTGGCCGAGCTGGAAGACACTGTCCACTGGTCCCCAGAGATGGGATGTGGGGGAAAGCAGCATCCCTGGGAAGCACCGTGAAGTGGCAGGTGGCGTGAGTTAAGAGCCCGATGTCTTAAAGACCCCGAGGTTACGCCAGAGATAGAAATGTCAAGAAAGGCCATGGCTGGTTGCCACCGACAGTCATTAGATGGGCAGATGGCTGTCCCTGAGATGGCGCGATGGTGTCATGGGGTAGGGACACAGATCCCAGAGCCAGAACACCACCTACCAGCTGTGTGTCTTCAGGCAAGTTACTCAGCCTCTCTGTGCCTTAGTTTACCCACGGAGCAGGGTTGTCGAGAGGGTTATTGAGCCAATTTGTCAGGGCCTGACGCACAGTGTTTGCGGAATAAACAGGAAAAATGGGGGTCCCGTGGGAGGAGTGTCAACGAAGGCGGCAAAGCCAGAATGGGGGGTGACTCGCACTCCTGGCAGCAGGGGCCATGGCCAGCATGGGAAGCGTAGCCGGGGCCTGCGGAAGAGCTGGCTGGGACGAGTCATGCTTTAGTAGCAAAGCAAACCCTGGAGAGGGGGACGCAGGTGAAACGTCCCATCACGGACTCAGAGCAGAGATCACATCCTGCTGGGTGCGCGAGTCCATGCAGCCTGATCGCCAAAGCTGAGGTGCCCCAGCTCCCTCTCGGTTCTTGGGGGGACACTCGGCAGCCCCCTGTCTGGTGGGCACAGGCCCTATGGTCTGGTCTATGCTGACCAGAGCCCAGATAGAAGTTGAGGCTGGTACCTGGCCATGTTCTCACCCCGCAGAGGCCAGGGGCCACCGGCCTCCTCTCAACAGAGAAGGGGTGGGTGGAACCGCTCTGGGATTCAGGAACATGGGGCTCAGGGGCAAGCCACATCCCCTACTCACCACTTTGGGCTTGAAGGGCGGCTGGATCTCCCTGTTCTCAAGTTTCTCCCAGTCGATCCTCCGGAAGAAGGCATGCTCCCGCACGTCTCTCTCCCCCTCTGGCCCGCAACCCAGCCGCTTGCCTGGGTGTTTGGTCATCAGCTAGAAAATAGCAGAGAGAGGGCACAATGTGTGACGCGGTGACCAGAGGTGACGACACTGTACTGTATAACTGAGATACGCTGAGAGAGTAGAACTTAAGTATTCTCTCCCCAAAAGACAAGAAGGTAATTGTGTGAGGTGATGGGTGTGACTTCTTGATTACGGGAAATCTCCCACAGTGCATATGCGTGTCGAACCACCATGGGGCACGTTTTCAACACACCGCAATTTTATTTGCCAATTACACCTCAATAAAGCTGAAAGAGAGAGAAAAAGACCCTCCCTCCCCTGCCACACACACTAAAATTAGGAGAAAAAGAGAAGGCTGGACGATAGCACCTTCCCTTTGCCAGCTCTGCTACGAGCCTGATGGTGTGGATGCCTGGGGAGCACCCTGAGAAATCAGTGGCTTGCACGGAGTGACCCCAACTCACAAACATGGTATTGACAGTAGGAGTCTTTCTATAGCGATTTTTTATGATAAAGGACACCGGGAAGTGATGTGGCCCCAGAGCCAAACATAAGAATTTAATCAGGTGTCTTTGTACACTACCTGCATGAGAGCTGTCATTCTGTAGGTCTCTAAAAAATATGTATGTGAAAAGGGAGGCAATCACTAAAACCTGTGTGTGTGCTGATAATAGGCATCATATACCTGTTTACTGCCTGGACCAAAATGTGTTAATCAAAGACTCATGGGCTGGGAAAAAGAAATGCTGTGACCAGCAGGTGTTAATTCTCACGCGTCTAGTGCAGAAGACAGAGGCGAACATGGGTTATAAGCTCTGGGGCAGGGCCCGGCTCTCCCTGTTCAGTTACGTCAACAGTGCCCTGCTCTCGGAAGATGCTGGATAACTGCGTCCCACGTGATCCCGATCAAACATGCCAGAAAATGTTAGGAGTGTGTTACATTGTATATTCCACTGGGTCTGATGGTGATTTTGTGGCGTAAAGCTTTACAGTGAAAAACTAACCAGGTCAGGACCTGGTAATTTTCTATTCTTGGGTCTCTCCTCTGCAGAAAGGAGCTCCTAGGCTCCCCCAAACACAAAACCTAGAAGTTTCAGGGCAGTTCTATTTGTAACAGCCCCAAACCAAAGTGGAAACAACCCAAACCTGAGCCCTTCCCCACGGCCGTAGCATGAATAAGTAAACTGTGGTGTGACCACAAGATGGAATGTTCCGTGGGCGGATAGAAGATGGAAGACGGCGTCCACGCGGGGATCTGGAGAAATGCCGCAATCACCATGTGGGGTGAAAGACGCCACGCCTGGGGAGCGTGTCTGCTATAGGAGTGCGTTTGTGCCAAGTTCAAAACAGACAAGGCTAATCCCCACAGGGACGAGCAGGGACGCTGCTTATCTGGAGGGGTGGCGAGTCACTGCAGGACGGGAAGGGAGGGGGCGTCTAGGGTGTCGGAAACCTTCCCTTTCCTGACCTGGGTGCAGTCCCTGGGTGTTTTGTTTTGTGAAAATTCACTGATCTACACACCCATGACCCGGGCCCATGTCTGCACGCATGTTCGATCTCAAAAAAAGAGAATCGCATGAAGAATGGCCCAAGGCACACCAAGTCAAGCAAGGGAAGACACTGAATATTTTCCGAGGACCCGAGGTTATTTCTGGTAACTCATGGCACACTTTCATGAGGTGGATGAGAAACTAAAGCCCAGTGCGATTAGCTGCTGGGGCCAGAGCTCCAGGCAGACTGGGGAGCAGAACCTCCTTTCCAGGCAGCCATGTTCCTTATGGCTCCCTGCGGTGGCCCTTGGTGGCTGGAAGCAGTGGCATGGGTTTGTAGGCTCTCTGCCACCTCTCTCAGAAGCAGAACTACGGGAAAGAGATTTCCCCCATTCATCCTCTCGGTCCGCGACTATAAAAGGAACGCAGGTCTACTTACTCCTTTGCAGATGGAAACAGCCTCCTTGGACAAGGATTTGGGATAAGAGACGTTATGCTCCATTATGGACTGAAATAGCTCGTCTTCGTCTTCGCCGTCAAAGGGAGGCTGTTCCGGAAAACAGAGACAGGGGAAAACAGGCAGGATGATTCATCAGCGTGGCGCCTGGAGAGCCCCGTCAGTGCCAAGACACACACCGGGCTTCTGGGCACCCCACTGGCTGTAGACTTCGCCCAGTGAAGTTGCTGGTTTATTTGGTTATCTTTCATTAGGCTGGTGGTTGTGTGTTTTTCACTCTCTCCTCTGTCTCTTTAGTTATCCTGCCTTGGGCAACCCAAAACAATCTTTAGGGAAAACGTTCTTGAGTCATGCTTTTAATGCTTTGCAAATAAATTGTAATTAATCCATTAATCTTGCAATTTTGTGTTAAAAATTTAATTACGATCAAGTTAGGTTACAGATGGCTCTGTGTGTGGAGTGGGGGCAGGGGGAAATGACGGTGCCTTTGGCCTCTAAGCGTGAGGTGTTGGAGCCATCAGGACATGGGCTGAAAGGGCTTCCCCAGGTCCAGAAATTCACACCAGGGCCCTTCTGACCCAACAGGGAGCTGCTCTGTAGAGAGCCTCGCACCTGCGTGGTAGCAGTGATGGGAGCTCAGCTTCCACTAGACACTCCCCTCTCCTCCTCTGCCGCATTTACACTCCCCACAGGGCGAGCAGGAGGCATGGCAGTGCTGTGGGCACTCATGGCTTTAAAGTCAGGCGGATCTGGACCAAATTCCAACGCCACCACCTTCTAGCTGGGTGTCCACAGGCAAGCGACCTCCCTAAGATAGAGTTTTCCAGTTTGTATAATGGGGTTCCCTGGTGAGTCTGCAAAACCCGAGATAGTCTGTCCCGTGCCCAGCAGGTGCCTGCTGCAGAGTGCCTAGTGGTACTGGTGTTTTATTGAAGCAGATGGACTGTCTTAGAATGGGCTGCTAGAATCCTCGGGAGAGCTCAAGGCATCCTTCCAACTTTCTCCTCCAGTACGTCTTTAATCCTGAAGATGTCCGGCAAATTACCTGTCACTCTGGAGGGACAGCACACGGGATAAGTAGGTTTATGGGGAATTTCTTAATGTTCCCTTTAGGCTTAGCTAACCTTGGGTTTAGCGAAAGAAAGGCAGACCAGGGGGCAGCTGTCACAGTCAAGATAATACCCGCATGTTTCATCTCGTCGCATTTTCCTTCTCATAGAAAAGAGGTGTCTCTGTCACTCTGACTGACACGGGTAGGGCTCCGCTAATGCCCAGAGTCCAGCTTAAATGTCAACGCCCTCATGGACCAAAGACAGCTGTGCCGTAGTCAGCCGACAGCCCTTCTTACCAAATGTCTCCCTCCGAATGGGAGTCAGCAATGGGCCCAAGCAGACTGCTCCCCCGGAAAACACTCCTCGGGTCATTCCAACCTGCTCACCTGACCCCCAGCCTTACTGTCCCCCCACCCCACCACCCCCGGGCCTGGAAAGGAGTTGGGTGTAGGGTCAGCCCATAGGAGTTATACCTACTCAAGGGAAAGATGCTAAGTCTATAAGGAACCCTACCTTGGGACCAGGTCTGGGAGAGTGGGGGGTTGGGGTGGGTGCCACTGTGTTGCTGGGTATTATTATTACTACTGCTGCTGTTATTATTATTTAGTCCAGAAATATAAATAAATAGGGCTCTTTTTCAGTCCTAAGTACCTGGTGTAAAGGATGTTTAATTTGGTCAAAGCATGCAGGTGGGTGAGGAGAACTAAAATCAGCCCCCCTTGGGGCGCCTGGGGGGCTCAGTTGGTTAAGCATCTGACTCTTGCTTTTGGCTCAGGTCCTGATCTCGGTGTTGTGAGATCGAGCCCCACACCAGACTCTATGCTCAGCGCGGAGTTGGCTTGAGATTCTCTCCCTCTCCCTCTGCCCCTCCTGCTCATACTCTTTCTCGAAAATAAATAAATAAATCTTTTAAAAAAATATCACCTTGCCCGTGAATGACTCCAAGCGGAGCTGTAACGGGCCGGCACAGTGAGTTTCCCTGGGCAGAAGTACCATGGTGCCTGGGAGGCTCAGGGGCAAGGATGCTGGGTGCGGACATGCCCCCTGCGAGCGCAGGTGGTCACCCGGGGCAGCAGGGAGTGCTGCTACTTCCATCTAGAGACATGGAGCAGGACAGCCCAAGGCTGGCCAAGAGCCACCATGGAGGCCAGTCCTGTGGACCATCTCACCACCTCTCCTCTGCATGACATCATGCAACCTACTTCTTCTGGACCCTGTGGTAGGACAACCACAAAACGTCCCCTTTTCCCTAATAAGGGATCCATACATATGGCTGAGTTTGGGCCACAAGATCTTTATAACTGAAGCCGACATGGCAGGGTTTCTGATCAGGGCTGTGAACTGCACACCTCCAGGGGGCCCCACTCTCTCTGAATTTCTTCTGTGTTTGTACTCTATAATGTTACAGTGCCCAGCATGTGAGCAGGGCGCGGGTGCTGCTCCAGGTGACCCATTGATGTCCCTGCATGCGCCCCTTAGGGCTGCTGGCCAGGAGAAACAACGTTACCAGCAGAGCATCAAACCCACTGCAAAGGGTCCCTGGAACTTGGGCCCCGTGGTGACAGAGGCAGCAGGGAGACCCCACTGGCCCCTCTGGTGTGGCTCAAGCACCAGCAGCCGGAATACTACGGGGGCTGAGGCACAGACCATCCTATCCAAAAGCTTAAGAGCAACTTTTCTCCAAAGAGAAACTCAGACAAATCATCCCAGGAGTCCTTGTCAGGGGAGGAGGCAAGAACCTCTGCATCTGAAGACAGTTAGGTCAATGCAGATCCCCCCAACCCCCAGCCCAGCCCCAGGCTGGTGTGGAAGATGGAATTTGGCAGGGGGAGACTTCTGCGCAGGTCACTGGCCTATCACACCTGCTTCATTGTCTCCTGGTATGGGAACCACCTCGGCCCAGGTGAGCTGTGCCTACTACTGCTCCAGGAAGCAGCTGACCATGAAGTCCCCTCTGTGTTCCCTCTGAGAGCAGGACACCTGGCTCCTGACATGCCCCAGAGAGCATTCCTTAGAACTACAGGGTACGAATCCTACAGGATACTCCTAGGTCAGAGTTTGCATCCTTTCCCCCCTTTATGGAGATCTGCAGTGACATTTACATTTTAAAGGTTCTAAGAAGTCCTGCCATTAAGAGAGCTGTTCAATCCAGAATGAATCATCCAGGCCTGGGATGGCAGAGACTTGGGCTCCGATGTTGCGATAAGATTCCTAAGCTATGACAAAGGCCGCAGGACTATGCGTCCTTGTGGCAGAGCCCTGGGCTTTAACACCATGTTCCATCCCCATGTGGCCCTAAGGACGGGCATCTCCTGGCAATCCCAGGGAGGACACGTGCCTCTACCCCTGACATTTTATCACGCACCGGGAGTCTACACTGCCTGACGAAGGATGGTCACTGTTTGGGAGTGAACAGCGGTAAGGATGGCGGCAGTAACACATGGTTTTCAGGCTCTGTTTACGTGGTGGGCACCATGTGGACTGCTTCTCCAGGTGTCGCTCCCTCAGTCCTCAAAACCACCATATGATGGACGTACACACTAGTGATCTCACTTTACAGTTGAGCTCACTGAGGTCCTACTATTAAGTGCTTTGGCTGGAGTTACAGAGCTGGATGTGGAAGAACCAAGATTCAAGCCCAGCAAAAGTGAACTACTGGGACTTCATCAAGATCAAAAGCTTTTGCACAGCAAAGGAAACAGTCAACAAAACCAAAAGACAACCGACAGAATGGGACAAGATATTTGCAAATGACATATCAGATAAAGGGCTAGTATCCAAAATCTACTAAGAACTTATCAAACTCAACACCCAAAGAACAAATAATCCAATCAAGAAATGGGCAGAAGACAGGAACAGACATTTTGGCAAAGAAGGCAACCAGATGGCCAACAGACACATGAAAAAGTGCTCCACATCATTGGGCATCAGGGAAATACAAATCAAAACCACAGTGAGATACCACCCCACACCAGTTAGAATGGCTAAAATTAACAAGTCAGGAAATGACAGATGTTGGCGAGGATGTGGAGAAAGGGAAACCCTCCTACATTTTTGGTGGGAATGCAAGTTGGTGCAGCCACTCTGGAAAACAGCATGGAGGTTCCTCAAAAGGTTGAAAATAGAGCTACCCTACGACCCAGCAGTCGCACTACTGGGTATTTACCCTAAAGATATAAATGTAGTGATCCGAAGGGGCATGTGTACCTGAATGTTTATAGCACCAATGTCCACAATAGCCAAACTATGGAAAGAACCTAGATGTCCATCCACAGATGGATGGATATAGAAGATGTGGTATATATATACAATGGAACACTATACAGCCATAAAAACAGAAATCCTCCCATTTGCAATGCCGTGGATGGAACTAGAGGGTATTGTGTTGAGCAAAATAAGTCAATCAGAGAAAGACAATTATCATATGATTTCCCTGATATGAGGAAGTTGAGAGGCAGGGCAGGGGGTTGTGGGGGGGTAGGGAGGGAAAAAATGAAACAAGATGGGACTGGGGAGGGAGACAAACCATAACAAAGTCTTACTATCAGGAAACAAACCGAGGGTAGTTGGAGGCGGGGAGGATTGTTAGAGGGTGGGGAGGGATAGGGTGGCTGGGTTAGGGACACTGAGGAGGGTATGTGCTATGGTGAGTGCTGTGAATTGTGTAAGACTGATGATTCATAGACCTGTACCCTAAAGCAAAAGACACATTATATGTTAAAAAAAAAAAAAAAAGACTCAAGCCCAGATATCTAACTGCAGAGCTTGGGCTCTGGGCCATTCTGGGCACTGCCAATCCCTCACACTTGCACTGGCAGGTAGATGGGGAGGGATGGTCCCCCGGTGCTGCTGCTCGCAGGGCTGGGTGGAAGGTGCTCAGCTGCTGGTCCACCCACACCTAAAGAAAGCTCGACTGGGGCAGGTATGTGGGGAGGCCATTTTGGTATCTGACACAATGAATAGTGGGATCTGGAAAGACCGAGGGGCAGTTGCTATGGCCAGAGACATTTCAAGTCACTGTGTAGAGGGACTGTCTCTAGATTAGAGACCTGGCGTGACTTCCCAGCCCTGACTTTGCTTATCTCCTGCTTATGCCACATGTCCACTGTCAGTGAGGAGAGGTCACCAAGGACCAATGCTGATGGTATAGCCGCCATCTTGGTCTTGCTGCGGGGGACCGGGGACAGGCACTCTGGGGTGTCCACCCTGGAGCACATCCCCCCAGATCTCACGGGTCAGAATGAGCCACACGCTCTACCCCACCACGAGTGAGCTGGGAGGTACCATCCCACCGCGTGCCAGAAGGGAGGAGGCCCCCAGCTACCTGGTGGGCAGCGATAATGATCACCAGACTGGGGAAAGCTCCCTGGGGCCTGCTATTAAATTAAGATCATGTGTTCTTGGGGGGAGTGGGGTCCAGGAAGGCACATCCACATTCCCCTCACCTCACCACAAAAACTGCTCTTACTGTGTTGTGAACTCTTAGCCTTGTTGTATTATTTTCAAATAAGGATGCGTAATTCGGAGTTTCTTGTTTTTCCCTGACTTTTGCAAATATCTCTCTGTGGCTACCTGTATTCCCAGCCAGACAAACCCTGTGGGGCCGATCCCTCACCCGTCCGACACGGGCTCATTGGTCCATGGGCACGTTCAGAATTGCTGTCCAGGCTCCCTTCTGATAACTAAGACTACCAGAAACATGTCTGCGCATGTCACTTTTCTCTTCACCGAATTACTTCCTAAGAAAAATGTCCCAGGTGTGGGCTTATGCAGTCAAAAGATGGGAGCATTTTTATGGCTCTTGTTAAGTCTCTCCAGGTCACCCCGGGAGCATTCGTATGGGTAATTGCTGCTCAGGCCTTGGTGCTGAAGGCAGGTCAAGAGTGAAATTATAATTATATTCCGTCTCCCTCCCAGTTAGCTACTGAGCCCGGGAACGACAGGAGGGGAGGTGTTGCTGAGGAGTAAGTGCGCGACCATTTTGGATTTGCTTCTCTCCCCTCTTTTCCACATTCCCATGATTATTTTTAAATTTCTACAGATCGGGGCTTAGTGTCTCTAGCTAAGCTGCGTGTCAGATACGGTTCTCGGCTGGGTGTGAAAATGTTCCGAACCAGAGGTGTTCTCCTTAGCAATATGCAATTTGTGAAGTTTAGACTAGAGGAGGGGTGATGGTTCACTCTTTCTAAAATGATTTCTAAGTCACCTCCTGGTTCCTGGATGCTGGGGTCCTGCCATGGTTGTCTGTAGATCACTGGTGACCAGCGGAGGTGGGGGGCGGGGTGGGGGGGGGTGGCGCACACCCAAAGACATTTCAGGTGAAAGTGCTGGGGGAAAGCACCCATCACCAATGCGTCAGGAAAGAAGATAAAGCATAGACTGCCCTGGCAAAAGGGGACATAAAGAGGAGAGCACTGGTCCCTTTATGATGGAGACCCGTGAGCACTTAGAACTGCAACATGCTTATTACAGTGCTGGGTAAATACTGTTTACGCCCCAAAGTAATCATACTTGTCAAGCAGTCCAGGAACTGAAGAAAGACTCAGGCTGTTTCTACTTAACTGTCCCCTTGGCTGCTGACAATAAATATACCAAATGAGAAGAAAATTGCAATAAACTCTCTTTTCTGCTCATCGTCAGCCCTCGGTGATTAAAGAGGATAAATTTAGACCATAACCCCATCAACCGCTTTATAGTTAATCTTACTTTTCAATAACTGCGTCTCTTCCCTCTGCTGGGTCTGGAGGCTGCTGCAGCTTCTGGGGGGCTGTGGGTAAAGTCTCAGAGCCTTCATTATCCTTTCTGGGCTGACTCACCGCCCAGAAATACATTGAAATTTGCATTGAGTCACAGGGAAGACGAAGAAGCGGGTACCGAAATGAAAACACTGTGTTGGATTTAGACGAGGAATGGCTGAGCCCACCACGGTGCCCAAACGTGGGCCGCCTTTAAGATGTCACATCTAAAGGGTGTCACCAGTGTCCATAGGGATCATGGAAACTGGAAGGGGTCCTATCGGGCAGGCTAACGGGAGTCTGAGAAGCAGGATGGGAAATGGAAATGTGCCAGAATGTTTATGGAAGCACTGCGCGTGGGGAGGGCGTCTGCAGGCGGGGGCCTCAGGGAAAATAGGCAAGAGAGGCAGGATTTTTAAGATGCACCTTCCCTGCAGGAGGGCAGCATTGCCTGAGCTTTCCTCTAGGGAAGGAAGTCCCCGGGCTTGGGGAGGAAGGAAGATGGGGGTAGGCGTGTGGCGTGTGTGGGGGGCACAGAACTTCTGAAGTCCTAGTCTCCTGCTCACCAATGACGAGTCAGCTCCTCCGATCTCTTGGAAAGTGCCCTTGGAAGTGACACAGATCCTATTTCCACCCAAATAATTTCTTTTGTTGGCATATGCAAATGTGACTCAGTGAAAGCAGCGTTTGTTTCTGGGCTCAAGAGTCAGAACATGCAAATGGGACCAAGAAGGGGAACTCAGTTTTCTGCGCCTTCGTGAACAGCCTGGCTCTCAAGGGGCCCATAATCCCGTCAAACTTTATGGTCAAAATTCTAAAGACAGGAAATTCACTCAAGGGGCAGGCAACCACTGTTGGCTCACTGACCGTGGTTCTGATGGCCTGCTTTTTCCATGCTTACAAATGGAGGTATTTGGCCTGAGATGAACATTTTATTGTGGTTAAAAACCCAAATGAATCATCACCAACCATTACTATCAATCAAGTCTTAACATCACTTGTCAGTTAACTACCCAATGTAGGCTGGTACCCTGTATCTTTTAATCTCTAAGAGACTACTTTAGTATCTAAAAGATGTAAGACAATAAAAGACCCATAAAGGAGAGCTCACCAATGGCCTCCTGCCCCAGAGACAAAGCCAAGGGTCTGTGATGACCTCCATGCTCACAAGACCTGGTGCTCCCTTTCCTCCTCTGACCTCAGGCCTCTCACTCCCTCTCTAACCCACTCTGCTCTGGCCAGACTGGTGGCTTCCCATCCTTTTCTTAAACATGGCCATACATTTCCACCCCAGGGCCTTTGCACTTGCTGTTTCCCCTGCCCAGAATGCTTTCACCCCACATATGTACTTGGTATTCTCTTTTTGCTGGTCTTTACTTCAGCTCTCCATGAGTCCCTCCCTGCCCATCCTTGCTTCAATTTCGACCTCCCTCCCACACTACATTTTCTTTCTGCTTTATTACTTTTTCTCTTAGCTTATTGCTCTCCTCTCTCTCTCTCTCTCTCTCTCTGTCTACCTTATAGGCCTCAAGAAGGTGAGGGTGTTTGTTTTGTTTCTGGTGGTCACCATGCAGAGAGTAAACCATCAACAAGTACATGCTAAATGCATAAATGAAGGAGTCGATGAACGTCATATGTCAGAAAGGGCGACTTCTCCCCCTCCAGGGACAAATATTCAAAGATTTCCTTGGGGGTAGCTGCTCAACATGCATATTTCTTTCCACTTACTCTTACTAAACTTTTGGCTACAGAGGATCCAACTCCTCGACACCAGTGCTCAACTGCTGGGAATTAAAAAAAGCAGCCCACAACAGAGTCATTTTTAGGTAAAATGGCGGAGATCTGTAGATGTTCACCCAACCTTCCACGGCTCACAGGTGCACTCTATCTCCCCCTCCCCCACCACCCCTTCGTGTCCCAGTGGGACCACGTGGCCAGTGGGCTGCAGGAAGGAGTGACATACGCCACCTCTAGGCTTCTCCCCAACCTCCCGCCGGGCTGTGCCAAGAATATAAAATAAAGTCGTGTGCCATGTTAAACCACTGAGGTTTTGGGGGTTGCTTGTTACAGCAGTCTGTGTGATTTGCCCCAACCCAACGGATATTAAGGCCACATATTAAGAAAATGTCAGCTTCGCCATCATTCCCCGTTTATCTGATATACGCTGCATTCCTCTGAGAAACCTAATCTGTCCTTTTATAACTGGAGGTTCAGCCTCATTGGATTTTTGTGAAAATTGCAACAAACTGCCAAGGGCGAGATAAGGAGAAATGGGGAGGAGCTACGAAGGCATTTCTTCAAGTTCCACTGTCTTCTTCCTCTGCTAATAATTCCAACTCTACACCGGGGCAACAGCTTGGGGGAGTCTGTGCAGACAAGCTTACAAGGAACCATAACCCAACCCCAGCTCTGAGATTCTGAAAACCTACAGAAGTCGTCCTCAACGTGCAGGGACTTTTGTGTTTAATAGGAAAGCGATGTTGTCGATGCTCCGGGTCTCAGCTCTCAATTTGGGCTTTTTATGACCAGAGATCATTGCTGTGCCTACTGAACAGAATCCACTTTCAAGGGCTGGGGGGAATTTCTCCCTCTTTTCACCTGGGTCAGGGAAGTCGGGGAAGCACCGGCTGCTGGGTCCCACCGTCCTGGCCCGAGCAGAGCCGAAAGCATTCACATTATCCAACAATAAACAAGTACAGAAACGTACATTACCTGCCCGGCTAGCATTTCATATAATAGGACGCCGTAGGCCCACCAGTCCACGGATTTTCCATATGGCTGATACGCGATTATCTGTGTGGAAACACATAAAGCTTACAATTAGTGGCGAGTCAAAGAGCCTGTGTTCGAACAGACAAGTCAAGCGTGTAGGCCTTTCTGCACCGAGGGGAGAGGGAACCGCAAATCCCACACCCTGGGAACCACCTTCCCAGGACTCGATGTCCGAAACCTGCACGGGAGCTGTCCACCAGGAGACGCCACGGTGTAGATTTCATTACCTTTTTTTTTTTTTTTTGGAAAAAGCCGAGGTCCTTCAGACCACGAGTCTGAGAAATAAGATAATCAAATTACATAATAGAATTTGGCTGTAAGTAAGGAAGATGGAGGTGGGGAAAAGGTATCTGCTGAGATTTCAGAACAATTTGAAAGAGACGTGATTTTATCAAATGTCGCATTTGAACCCTGTCTGAACCTTGACCCAAACCAAAGCTACTGTGAAACAGAAATCAGGAGCAACTAAAATGTCTTGATAGGAGATGATATTAAGAGGTTAGCCTTAATTTTGTGAGGCAGGAAGATGGTACGGTGCTTTGTTGAAAAGTATGATGAGTGTATTAATGGGTGAAATGCACAAGAGATGACGTATTTACAGGTGAAGTGACGCGAAAGCTTAGATTTGCTTTAAATATTTGAGCAAACTAGGAAGGGGTCGGGACATGTGAAATAAGTTGGTAGAATGCAGGGAGCTGGTGAAGCTGGGTGATCGCCCCCGGAGACCTGTCCCCTGACTGCCCCGGACTGCTGTGGCTCCCAGAAGTACTAGAATAATTCTAGGACCTGCCCTTGTGGAAGAGGGTAATACTGACTTGAATTTCTAAGCGTGACATGGGGTATTAAAACACTGGTGTTTTCTCAAGGACACAATCCCCCGACCCACGGATCAGGCCCCAGGATTTGAGCCGAAGACATCCGCACAGGTGTTCTGCATGACCTTTCTGCCATTCTGCATACACACACGTGACTCTGAAATGTGCTGGGGTGTTTTTTTTTTTTTAATGGCCCATGGTGTCTAATGGAATGTTCCGGGACATAAACAAACCTGCATGTCCCTTCTTCTCCATTTCTTTAATGTATTACTAATATTTCTCCTTGCAGCATGAGAAATACAGCTCCTGTGGCTTGCCTCAATGTGGTACACGTTGGGATCTGACAGCTCTAGAGCTCATTTTCTTGTCAAGGATATGATAACCAGAGGAAGTTACAAGGAGGCCTTCCTTTCTTTTTAAAAAACTACATTTGTTCTTTTTTTTTGAAAACTTGGAAAATACACACAAAGAACAAAAAAAAAACTCTACCATAATGAGCCTCTGTGTGTTACCTGGTGGTGTGAAATGAGGCTTGCCATTCTGGTTCCAAGACAGGAAATGACTGGGTCAAAGGCTGTCTTGACTCAGTAAAACAACAGAAATTCTCTTGGGGAGAGTAAGAAAGTGCACTTGCTAAGCACCTACTATATATTCAACGTGCTAATAAGCACATTCTGTAGAGTCCTGTGTGGCAGGAGTAATTGTTCTCCCCATTTTATAGGTGGGAAAGCTGATGTAGCAAGAAGTTTCAGAGACTCGACCAGGGCCAAGCAGCTCATAAGTGGTGCTCTAGATACTGACATTTTTCTTTTAAAAACACAGTTTACGACTGCCAAATATATGTAATCACTCACACTGAGATTAATAAAATATTAATCAAAGGGCTTTGAAGATGAAAGAGGTTTAAAACCACCATTTCAGTTGTTGTACTTGTATTTCAGAAGCCCTTGAATAAAATTTGTTCTTGTAACGATATTAAAACCAGTCCCGACAATCTATTTTCATTAATCAGTGTTTTAGTTACTCCGTTGTTAACTCAGGCAGAGCTGGGGCACCGTGTTGCTGTGGGAATTATCAGGCTGCGGGACGGAGGGTGCTGAACTAGGGAAGTCCCGCTGTATTTCGTATCCTATATTCTGCAAGCGTCTGAGCAGTCTTACCAATCAAACTCCTCTACTTGGGCAGTCGGAAAGCTGGGAAAGCTGTCAGAGGGCAAGGGTAAGGAATCCCCTGTCTTTGGTCAGAATGATTCATAAATCCGAAAAGCCAGGGCCATCTGAAGATTTTTATTTTCTTCTTGACTCTTTATCAACTTTAGTCCAACTTGGTTTTTATTTCCTATTTGCACAGCATCAAACTCTCATGACTCCTGGTGATAACACCCTCTCCTTCTTCCAAGGCTTTACTAAAGCAGAATGCCAAGTGACAACATCTCATTTTTCTTGGCGACAGCATTTGGCAATCCCTCCAGCCCGCCAGCCCAGCTCCTGGGCCGAGATGACAAAGTCATGTGGAACACTGCTGCGTTCTCAACGGTAATAACCAGATGGGATTTGAAATTCGGCTGGGGCATTTCTTCTTGGAGAAGCTCACATGTCGCCCCTGGCTTTCACGCTAGACAAAATAGGAAGGTTGGAAGATCTAAATTACAAGGTCTAGGGGTGCAACCTTACCATTGCAAATTCATTGTTAGAACGAAGCATGCTTTCCCCTCAATGATGAGCTGCTACTAATACATATTTTGGAAAAAATATTAAAAATCTCACTGCAAAAGGGCAAGCATGTTAGAGAGCCCCATTTGAAGGGAAACATTTAGATACACATGCTGTAGGATGTGGGTTGCTCTGTCCCTTGTGAGCTGTCCAGACTTGCCTGGCCAGTACGAAGCCACCAGCCACGTGTGGCTACCGATCACTGGAAAAGTGGCTAGTATGAACGATATGTGCTCTAGGTGGGAAAGACACATCAGATTCTGGAGACTTAGTTCCCCAACCGCAAAATATCTCAGTAATATTTTGGATCTATTGGGTTAAATAAAATATACTAGGCTTAATTTCACCTGTTTCTTTTTCTAACTTTTAAAAAAATGTGGTTGCTAGGGGGCACCTGGCGGCTCAGTCAGTAGAGCACATGACTCTTGATCTTGGGGGTGGTGAGTTCGAGCCCCATGTTGGATGTAGAGATTCCTTATATCAATCAATCAAACAATCTTTAGGAAAAAAACCCACACATACACAAAACTGGGACTGCGAGATGCCGTTTGGCTTACATTTTGTTTCTACTTGACGGTGCTGGTCTATACCCTCTCACGGACTCCTACAACTCACTCTGGTTCCTGGGTTCCTGTTGGCCTGGGGAGCCAGCTTTGGGCTGAGGACCAGGCTTAGAGGCCACAGAATGGATGGTGAGTTTCTCTTGTTTCTGTCCCCACTGGGGACAGAAGCAGGTGTCTCTGGGACTCGTGGGCCAACAGTGGCGTGCAGCCAAGCCTGGGGGGCTGCAATGGCAATTTGGTCTCCCCCAGCAGAGGACCTCACAAAAGAGAGGCAGACTTGGCAAGAAGGGCTCCAGTTGGCGGACCTCCCTGCAGCACATGGGGGTTGAACTTCAGCTTCAAAGACAGACCCCCAACAGGGCGACTGTCATTCAGCTTTTCTGCTATTTGTCATTATGATCATTATGATTATATTCACATGAGCCAACGGCTTGGGGGAGATGTCAGGATGTTTCAAATGGCTGCCCGTCTTGTAAAAGTCAGATATGAATGAGCTTTCTCCCAGCCTGGGCACAGGACCAGAATGAAAGGGGCCAGAGGACAGCTTCTCATCTCCCGGCAGGCCAGTGGCCACAGTGGCTGGAAGGACAACGCTCTGAAACTATCCACCTTTCCACCCAAAGAAGACAAAGAATGTCTTCTTTGTCCTCCTGTGAGCCACCTGTACCTTCACTGCCTGGATTCATTTTCGCCTGCCTGCCGTGCCTGGGGGCCGGTTCTTTCTTCTGGTGTTCGGAAGTACGGAGTCGTATCGTATACTCAACTCAGCTGCAATAAACACATTTTATTATATGAAATGCCGTTCTATCCCCTGCCGTGTTCCTACCAGGTGGGTGCTGGAATTCTGCATCCCAGCTGAGGAAATGGAGACTCAGAGAGGCTTAGCTCTGCTAGCTCGCTTAGCCTTTGTGAGACTTTTATGAGTAGGAGTGCTCCATTTCCAAGATGAGGAAATGAGACACAGAGAGGTTAGGTAGCTTGCCCAAGGTCACACAGCGAGTAAGTAGCAATACTGGTCACCTGGACTTGGTGTACACACTTCTGACCATTTTTCTAAACTGAAGATTCATTGGCTATGGTGGGAACCGGCCCCAAAAGGGGCTCAAATGCTTACTTTGCTCAGGAACTCGGGCCCTGGAGACTTTGTCTTAAGGGGACATGTGTATGTCCCACGGGAACGCAGCATCTGTTCGAGGAGACCCACTTGCCCATTCCTGGCTGTACCTTAACTAGTTTCCACTCTTCACTTTCACGTGACGTTTACTCGCTACCTGCCCCCTCAGAACCCACCCTAATAAACAGCCCAACCACAGAAGGACCTTCCCAGGCTGCCGTTACAAACACTGGCCTTTATGCATAAAACATGCTCGAGTCCTTTTGCTGTCTCAAGGAAATAAAAATTTCCCTTCCTTTGATCAAAAATAGAACTATTTTACTTTAATGAAAAAAATCACGGTTGTTTTGAAAAACATCCTAAGTTTCCAGCAATAGAACACAGGCCACAAGAGGCCTTCTTTATGTGCCTGGTTAAGAACACTGACACGTCAAAACAGTACGATTTGGGAAAAAAGAGGAAGAGCTGCAGTGTCGTCTGGGTATTCTGTCCTGACAGCGGAGACCGTGAGCTCATGAACTGTCTCCTCCACTCTTTCTTCTGGGGCTGACAGACCTTGGCCTCCTCGCAGCTCCTAGGGCCATTGTCGCATCACGCGGAGACTGCTTATCTGCCCTTACGTGACTCCAGACTCCTCCCCAGTAGGGCCGGGACAGCCCCCTGCACATCCAGCACTGGAACCACCCCCCAGCAGCTGGAGCGGGAGAAAAATGCGTGAGTGGATCTCATCCAAGCCCCAGTGGTGGGCACCACCACTTCTTAAGTCCAACGTCAACTTGCTGGATTGCTGAGGCTGGAGGGTGGCCCTTACAGGTGC